ATGTAGAAGTGACCTAATGAAACTAACCTATTTTTTGATGTAGTCATAGACAGACTTTGGTGGCCTACACATAAGAAGGACATAGTTTGTAGGTGAATGTAGTACCTTTTATTAGCTCAATTGTATTAGTGGGAAAAAGCAAAGAACCCTTCAGGCATATAGATCTTTCAAGAACTTTGTCTGCTTTGTTGCAGCACCAGCTTTTTGCAGTCAGTCTAGCTAAAAGCACTACCTCTATCTAAAAATCTTCTCCTGGAGAAAAGGTCCTAAAAACTCTTACAGATGCCATTGGAGAAGTTGGCCACCACTGTGCCTCGGTCATGGCTAGGACAGTCTTGTGGCTGCCTCTGTAACTGTGACATCTTGAGATGCATCACAGCAGTTGTCCAGAAGTATTGAACCCATGCAAAATTATAATATCTAGTGCTTTAACATCAGTTCAAAAAAAAATCCAGGAAGGCAAAGATGAGTAACAAAACCAATACATTATAAAGGAGCAGGAGCCAGTGTAATTATCTAACAATCTCTTACATAAAGCAGAGCATTGTACCTCCGACTTAGCTCTTGTGTAACAGAGACAAATACTTGAACACTTGCTCTGTGCAGGTCTGAATCACTCTTGTCATTTAACTACTTCAGCTGTATAATACACTCCTAATCCTTTCCTCAGGCTTCACTTGGTATTTTCTTCATGTGGAGATGAGACAAAATTATTATTATTTCATTTAATTAAGCTATCATATTGGGCAGCATAATCTGGTTCTGGTCTGGCTCCAAAGAACTAACTTAAAGAAAATCAGTGAAAGATTTTTCTCTGCACAAAATGTCAACTTATAATTTGGCAGTTTGTTCTTTGTTGCTTTTCTTTTACAATACAGAACTATTTCTCCTAGTACTTTCTGAGTTACATAAAACATGTTCATAATCTTTACTGTTTCTTTCTCCCCAAGATGATATTTAAAGTAATACACGAGAATCTGAAATTGCAGCATGGCCTGTGATTAAAACTCAGGGAAATGTATTTAACATACTCTGAATGATCTCATATTTAAGTAAAAGAACACTTTAAAGAAAAATAAAGCACTTAAAAATGACACATTTCTTTCTCCCTCAGTAATTTCCCACCTTCTAAGGTCTGAAATAAGGAAAGTTTGTACTTTAGCATAAAGTTTCACAGAAAACGAATCAACAAAATGAATGCATTACTAGGATATGACAACTGAAATTACCACAGCAGGGTGGTTTTGTAGCTATGCTGGTACCTTCATTAGGCAACTCAGGCTAAGCAGGTAACATGAGTATATATATGGATATATCCAGATATAAATTACATGTATTGAAAGAGAAAAGTGGGCAGAAGATGGAGCCATAAGAGGACATGACATTCCAAGTGTGAAAATCCTGTGACAAGGTTGTGTTTTGCTGGGATTCCCAAGACGAGTTGAATTCCTTTCCGGCTGGAATGGACCGGCTTTGTGAGGAGGAGTCATGCAGGTCTGAATTCTTGCCTTCGCCTATATCATGCTCTCCTATGATGCTGTTAAGATACGTTACTGATCACTTGTCTTTTTTTTTCCAAATTCCCTTTTTTTTTGCTTCATCTGCCCTAATTCTCAGCTTTGACTCCAGACACCTTTTCTCCAAAGGTGCTCCTGTGCTCTCTCTTTTTCAGGATTTTCGGTTTCTCCAGCTGTTTTTGAAGTCAGCCTTCCTGCCTTCTTTTTTCCCCTCTCCTCTAGGTCTTCGTGTTCCTTCTTTTTGTTTTCTTTCCATTCTCTCTTTCTTAATACTACTCCACTTCGGTCTATTTTACTCTTTCTTCCTGATCATGACTGGAGTTGAACTTTCCACTCTCCCAGCCTGTTCTGTGCATCCCCACCAGCTTCTATATAATTTCCAGTCAATTTTTGTTTTCTTTAGTAATTTCCTTTCTCTGCCTCCTGGGCAAGCAGGACAAGATACTCACTTTCAGAAACAGAAAACAAGCAGCAAGTCTACTGAAAAGTCCCTGAGCAAGGCAAGATAAGTAATAGTTATTGCCATCTTTCCAGCATCAGCTGAGATGGCAGTAAGGCCATCTCATACAGAGCTGAGGATGTAGTCTGGGACTCCTTGCATGATGCCACCATACTGTGAGCAGTGGGAGCAGAGAACAACTTTCCTTTGGAGGGAGGTGGTGGCTGAAGCTTTACTGAGAAAGGGAGTATTTAGATGAGCAGGAAAACAGGCTTTTTGTCATCCTTTAGAAAGACAGTCAACTGGAATCTCTTTTTAATATTTATTCCCTCATACAGAATATACTTGAAGGAGCAGCCTGGGATTATTCCTCTTGACTTCATGATTTAGCAGGATTCACTGATCTTGAATGCCAGTGACATCTATCTGGTAGTTCACACCTTGCGGTGCTGGTGCTTGAGATAATTTTTGGATTTCGGCAAACAGCACCATATCTTGCATCAAATTTTCAATGTGTTTTTATAAGCAAGAGTATTTTGTGGGTTTTTTTTTTAAGCTCTGATTCTCATGTCATGTGTGCAGATGGTTTTGTCCCATAGTTTTGCATCAGTAGCACCCATATCTTTGTTTGTACTGGGTGGGAGTCATAGTCAGACTGCTCTTTGTTTCTGTAAGAAGGAGTCTCTCAGTCATTACAGATCTCAGTGCTCTTTTCCTCACATCTTTTCTGTTTCCATTCCTGACGTATATTCATGTAAATTTCAAGTTTCATGCAACCATGAAGAAGTCTGCTGTTAGTCTCAGATCTGTCTCCTCCTGTCTTAATCCAGCCCACTTATGCTTAGCCATGGAGTCCATCCATGATGCAGTGTTTCAGGCTTGCCAAAACACTCATAAGAAGGGGGAATTTTGGCAGTCAGAGATGGTGGCAAAGAATGTGGCGATACAGTAAAAAGTGATGGAAGAGTAGTGTTGTTCTATTCCCATCACTTATAAATAATTCTCAGATAAAGCGTGCTTGGTGGAACCATATCCGCACTGAATTCAGTCAGAGTTCAGTGTTTGACTTCAAAGACGTAGCATCTTAGTCTTCCTTCACTCTATGTAACCCAATAATTCTGGAATAAAATCTGCATGAAATTATGATTATATATAACTATATATACTTTTATGTCTCCTTGGTGCATTCCAGAGGAAAAAAAGAGGAGGGGGAAAAAGGCTCATGTAGTGTTTGTCTGAGTGTACAGAGGTGATGCTATTGAGACCAGGGTTAAAGAAAAATACTGTACAATGTTTATTTCTGCTTAGACACCCTTCTATTTCCAGCTTGCCATTACATAATGACATTTTCTTGTGGGATTGTCAGAAGATATATCTATCCTAGGAGTAGCACTAGGAAGTAATTTTGCCTTCTTTTTTCTTTCTTTAATGGAAAATAAGACATTTCTGGAGATAAGAACTTTCTGCTTCCCAGGTGCCTGGTGAGACTTTTTGTTCCACATTATTTTTCCAATTTCCATTGGATTTATTTTGAAAGAATGTGATTTCTCTGGGAAATGCAGTTGTTTCTTTGCTCTTAGGTCATGCCTATGCTTCTTGATTGTCTCAGTAGCCAAGGGCTTCCCCGTAGAGATTCCCCATCTCCTTCTCAGATGCAAAGGGACTGATTTGAAGAATCTGTAATGGTTTTGTTGCTTACACTGTGGAATAAGCTGAACTTCCCCATCATGTAAAAAAGCACAATATTACATGATGGGCGTGGGAGGAGCAGAAAGGAATTTGTCTGAACTGTGGACAAGAATATCTAAGCTTGCTGCTCAGACAGCTAGCTGCATGGGAGATACAAGATTAATGAGATAGCAGATGCATGGGAGGTTGAAAAAGTAACTTCCATCAGGAGTGCAATGGGCATCAGTCAAAAGGGTGAGAGCACTGGTGGGTGGGATGTCTCCTTTACATAAAGCATAAAGCCTTGGCTTAGTGTAAGAAATGCTAGGGATACTCCACTGACAATGAAATTATGTTTAGTTTTCTAAAGCAGTTAGGTAACTGCTGGTTGTATTTTTCCTTTTTTTGTTCTGTGTGCATTTATATACAGATGATCATATATGCTTTTCCTGTCATGTTTGGGTTGCTAACTCGGTAGATGTTGCCTGCCTGAGTCCCCCTCCATGGGTAACACTGGTTAGTCTCAGCTCTTCAATATGCTGTTAAATCTGTGTGACAACTGATGGTAGTAATTTTGATAAGACAAAGTAAGGTCTGCAACAATGAGCTTGAAACTCTTTCAGAAATTATTCTTTTTTTTATTTAAAGCAAGTAGTACATTTATAGCTTTTTGGTATTAATACTTTCATCCATATTTGCCCATAGTTGGCTCTGTAAATGTAAATATTCTTGGTGGGAGATGCCCTTAAAGCCTGTAGGAGTCTTAGCAAACTAGCAGTGCTTTCTGCATGTAAGGTTCTACTGTATATGTATTTCTTCGAAGGGCAGGAATGTACACCTTGATGTTTATAAAATGAATTAAATTCTGGAAGGAAATTTTACTGTTGATTTCAGCTAGCCCTGCAGCTAGCTGTAATGCACATCTGTATTACCACCTGAGTTGTTCTTGTCAGAAAGCTGTTACTGGTGTAAGATTTGAAAACACAAGGGTTGCGTAACTTCATCACTTAGTACAGTTATTGCAGCAGCTAATCTTGTTTTCCGGCAGTGTAACTCCTATTTAATTTTTATCTCTCCTTTATATTTTTCCCCTTAAAATCCAAGGAGAATTATAAATAATGTGAAAAATTGCCTGAAGAAGACAACCTTTCACCTCAGAAATACAAATCAGACTGCACTGTTGTTTCAATCACTTCACTAGAAACACATGAAAATATAATGAGAGGACTAAAAAATTAGGCACAGAAAGAAACACAGAGAAGTCCATTATGAGCATAAAGAACTTTGTGAAGAAAACAGGAAGCCTTTTTTTCAATGCCCATCATATTGTATATATTTGCTGACCATTATTATCATAATGTTTCCTTCTCATTTAGGAGATTGTCAACTTCAACTGTCGGAAGCTGGTTGCTACAATGCCTCTTTTTGCTAATGCAGACCCAAATTTTGTGACTGCCATGTTAAGCAAGCTGCGATTTGAGGTGTTCCAACCTGGAGATTATATTATCCGAGAAGGGGCTGTAGGCAAAAAGATGTATTTCATTCAGCATGGTGTTGCTGGTGTCATCACCAAATCCAACAAGGAGCTAAAGCTGACAGATGGGTCTTACTTCGGAGGTGAGTAGGAAAAAATGAATTATAACATATGAGTGAATGCACTAGAACAAAACATGTTCAGATACCAGATGCATAGAGACATCAGAACAAGTCTACTGAGTGTCTTTTGCCTACATGATTCCAACTGCCGTGAAGACTGCACAAAATATTCCTGAATAAGACATTCAGAGGCTGCTTACTGTTGTGAGGACAGCTACTGAATATGCAAAATGACCTTCCTGAATTTTGTAGTTATTTTGAATTAAGAGCACTGTTACTTAACAGATGGTATTTCAATAAGAATATAATAAATTGCATAGTAATTTTAGAACTATTTAAAGGTAAAATAAACAGGATTCGTCTTCCTGAATAGGGGTAGAATTTTTGAGTCATAAATGTAAAGTACTTCTAAAATGTAAAAAATTACTGTAAGAACTACAAAAGTAGTTTAAATAATAATGGAGTGGTATCAAGATGTTGTTCCTTGTGACTATAAATTGTCTTTGTGCAATAAAATAGGTGTCTGCTCCTGGGAGTAGCAGCAAGGCTGGTTTCCAGAAGCTGACTGAACTTTTGTGTGTGCCACCGCTGCTCATGATGGTTACAGTTAGTTGGTCATTGCAATAATTATCTGTTGAATCCCATGAATCATCCCAGAACAAAGTCAAAAGCCTTTCAGAGAATGTTCAATTGAAAGCATAATCAGTGGCATTTAGCTGGTATACGGCAATGTGAAGCTTAGAAAACAGAACTGGGCTCGGTGTTTGAAATGGGCTATAGAGTTACTTAACTAATCCCATTTTAGAATAATGCACTAAAGCAACCTCTGCTGATCTGACCAGCAGGCCTTGTCACTCTTCAGTAACCACTGCAAGGTGATTTGTACCAGTATTTGTAGAAGCACTTCAGTAAAGAGGTCTTGTGCTTATCCCATGGGCTTAAACTATAAACGCTGAAGACAGGAGATTAAGGAGAAAGAAAAGGTAAATGCTGAGGATGAAGAAACAGAGCAACCTTGGTCTTGGTCTTCTCTGTGCTTAGCAGTGCCCCAGTTTATGAAAATGAGTTTGCAAGTGTCTGCATGCTGAATCCGACCATAATGCTCCTCTGAACCAGCAGAGGATCAGAGGAGATTGCACATGAAAGTATTTTACATAACTGTCAGCCTGTTCTTGCAGTGCAAACGACTACTTAGCTCATCGAATGCAGACAAAAAATAATTTATTTGCATTATCCAGACACCACGAGAACTTATTACACTGCATGCCGAAGCGGTTTTGCTCATCCAGACTGCATCCGGGATGAGACAAGGGGTACAAAAATGGGGACAAATGCATCCAAAGCCTGATAGCTGGTGGGGCAAATCAGAGATAATAGCTGTTTCTGGATGTAGCATGGAGCGGCAAGGAGAGGTGAGGACAGGAGACGACAGGAGACAAGATGAGAAGAGGCGAGAGGAGATGAGAGGAAGGCCAAACACACAGCGAGAGAGGAACTGAGAAAGGAAGTGCCTTAAGATCCAAAGTGGTGTGATTCAGATCTGTTTTAACAAAATATCATACAGCATTGTGAATTCCCTGAAGGGGATTTCAGGCCCTGGAGAAGAAAGATCTATTTGACTGCAGCTGAAAAAAGAGGACACAAGCTGCACATTGGATGACTGTGAGTTGAAAAGATTTGGTTTGTTAAAGCGGAAAATAAAAATTCAAATGTTCTTGTCTCTCTGGAGAAGACATTCTTTCCCTGAAATGTATATCAGAATCTGAGCAAAGCTTCCTGACCAAAGCAGACGCATGAAAAGTTGCACAGTGACAAAATAACTAGCTGGAAGAGTAAGCTTGTGTTCAGGTCCTAAGGCAAATAGGACCTTTTTTTTGCCTAATCAAGACGTGCAAAATCAGAGGCTGAGATACCATTTAAGAAGCTGCAGCTTATAACTTCCAACAGCAACTGTATAACTCCCAGATCTGATACAATAAACCAGTATCAACACTTGTGCTCTCACAAGCAAGGGAAGAACACACAGGTGGGAGGGGTGTGCCATACCTAAACAGATAATTTTTCAGTTTTTAAATGTCTCAAGAATTGGAAGTTCCCAGTCCCAGCTCAGAGGTGCTAACTGTTGGATGTCAGATACGTCTCAGTGCTGAGTTTCTGGGGGGCTCTGCCTCTGGTTCAGGAGGAGTCCCTGGAGAGGCAGGCTCACCTCCAGAACTCATGAAGGGTTTCACCAGCATCGTGCCTTGAATTTGGAAAACATTTATCAAACTTTCAATGAGGAAAATGTTTGGGTATTGACAACAGTGTTTCAGTAGAAAAATTATGACACCCAGGAGTTACTGGAAAGCTGAAGGTTAGCATGAAAGCCAAAATTTAAGAAGACTCAAAGCAGTGTCACCAGTATTTGGGAAAGGCTTGAATGGAGACTGTTGGGAGAGCGAGAGCCTGAAAAACAAAAGTTGCAGTAATAAAGAGAGGCAATATCTGGAGGTTTGAAGACTGAGATGCTGTTGAACATTTAAATTCTCCTGCCTAGTCTTTGTTCTTAGTCAAAAAACAGGCTTCCCTATGGGTCTGGGTGTTAAAAGTCTCACATGACACTATATACGCCTTACAATTTTTCTCAAAAAGAATGTGCCTGGGTAACTATCAATGCAATAGATTAATCAGACTACACTTCACCTCTGTTTTATGTTCTCTGTTGATTTTTGAGCAAGATGCAGAGTGGTGACTCCAGAGAGCCCTTCATAGGTCTGGGCTTGATTACTGTCTGCTTCTTTCCTCATCTGTGCTCACTGTTTTCTCCTTTCTGGAGGGAACGAGTAAGTACATGACAGTAACCACATAGATTTTGTGGTCTGTTTGTTGGTATTCCTGTGGGAAGAGCATCCTATCCCTTAACCTTCATGTGTGTTCGTAAATCTAATCTTCTTGAACTTTGTGTGCCGGAGCATTACTTAGCCCAGCAGCACGTAGGATGCTAATTTTCACCCCAGTAATTTTTTTCAGACTGCTGATGGAACAATATTATCAACCTACGTATCTACTCCAAGGGCTAGTAGGAATATGAAAGTAATTTCTGGTACTATCCTTTTCCCTAGGCCATATACCCCTTACCCTCGCCCCCCTCCCCCTTCAATGGAATGCACAAAGTGTGTGAAGGAACATGTGAGAAATACTGACCACTCTACACTCCCTCAGATCTGCAGTCAACATACCAAAAAACCAACACCCCCCCAATTGTTAGACACTAAATATGTTCAGAAAAAAAGTGTGATTTTAGGTTGACTGTGTTCTTTCAAGTCTTTCAGTAATGACCACAGAGAAAATATTTTAAAGAGAGTGACATAAATTCTGTCTTGAACAGACATGGATCATTGGAAGGATTGTTTCATAAAGATTGAGGACAACCCATTTTCCTTTGCCTTTTAGAAGGAAAATACTTTCCTGTTTTAGAAGGAACAGTATTTTCTTTAAAGAAAAGAGTAACTTTTTATTGCCTTACCTTAGAATCCCTGTCATCACATGGTGTGCTTGTGTGAATTTTTCTGAAAGGGACAGGAATTAGGCAATGAAGAGTACAGGAATCTAATTTTCACTATATTGCACAGCTATGTAGTCATTTCTACATCAGTGGAATTATGTAAGCCACAGTTACCAGTGGAGAATTCAAGGATTTTAATACCTCATGGCCACTTTAATTGGATTCTCCAGGACCATATCTTGTTATTTTTGAGGAAATAGAGCAATACTCATTTTCCTAAACATCTATGGATTTTTTCATGTCTTCCTTCACTTTTCCCCTTCATTTTCTAAAATGTCTCCCAGTTCCTCATTATTAGGAATAGCATTGCTGCTACTTTCAGCAAAGCAGGAAATGCATCTATTCTCTTCACAGATAGAAGAGAAACTTCTCCCACTGAGACCGACACAGTTTTCATAGGAGGGAAACAAGGTTGCCCTCAATGGAAATCACCACCTTCTCCTTCTAGCTGCTTCTGTAGGGAGAGTAAAATGTAAATGAAGAAGGTCAGGAGAGAGTGGATGGTCAGAGCTGTGTTAAGACATGGGACAAAACCATAGGGGAGGTCAGAAGAGCATGGGGAACACAACAGAGGTCAACAGAGGGAGGACTACTCGGGTAGGTGTCAGGTTGTGGGTGGTGCAAAGAAATCTGAGACAGGGGAACTGTGAGTGCAGGGGAGCGTCGTGGGCATGAGACTGATGGGAGAGGGAAGAAAATGCAAAGGGCAAGAGCTCATCTGAACAAGACAGACTAAAGCAGCCTTCAGAATCTGTAAAGGAGTGGGAAGGTGCTTACACCTATATCTTTAGAACAGCAGGTAGGAAAACCAGACTGCACGTGTGTTTGCAGCTAAGTTGAATAGCAAACTTGAGATGAACACACGTGAATTCAGCCTTCCTGAATGGAGATTAAGAGAATAAGAATCAGAAGGCAGGTGAAAAATCTAAGCAACTTATTTTGAGGATGTTGTGATGGCTATATTATATATTTTTTTGTCATCTTGTCCATGGTTTTGAGTACGTACCACTTACAATGCTGAAAATGTAAAGTCTTTGTTAAGTACACAGCAGTGGAGAATGAGAGCTCTCCAATTTTTTTGTCTGTCTCGGTGCATATTTTTGTTTCTTTTCTTTCATACCTTGGTAGTTCAAACTCATTTATGGTAGAACCCAAGCAGTAAGTGGTAGTGAGGAAATTGCCATGTTTCAATCCTACTGAACCTTTTCCTCTGAGTACAGGTGATTGTATTAGGAATTACTCAAAGGCTTTTTCTGACAGGAGGAATTACTGAACAGATTGCATATTAATTCTTCACTAGACACATAAAATTGGTGAAATGCAAAGATTTTGAAGTCTTTACAGATGATGCACAGGAATATGAGTCTTTTGCCTATAGAGAAGCATGGTTCACCGTTTACTGAGGCTTTACAGAGCAGAAATAATGTATATCATGAGCCTAATACTAATCGACATTATACCAATATACATTGGTATA